CAGATAATCATCGCTTATCATATTATAATGTGCGGCTCCTCCCGCTTAGTCGCGCTATCTTTCTCGAAAATTAGCTCCGAGCAGGTTGAGTTCCTCCGGAGACACCCGCGCTTGCCTTCCTCCTCACCGTGGCTCTGAGGAAGGAAAAACGCCGTATGAGCCATCTGGCGTTGCCAGATTTTCTCTAGTGAAATACACTTTTCAGGGATTCAAATATCAAGGGAAAACTGAGAAAGGAAAAACGCTGTATGAGGCATCTGGCGTCGCCAAATTGTCTCTGGTAAGATACAGTTCTCAGGAAAATTTGCAAATATCGAGGGATAATGGAGATGTTGCATGTGTGAAGAATTTGCGATTTGACTATTGATTCTTATGTAAAAGTTTGCGAGAAACACGATGGTGCCACTGGTTTTCTCGTTCTTGTTCCTCAAACTCGTTCTCAAATTCATTCTCGTTTGTGACTCTGTACAGGCCTAATGTAAGGGAACAAATCAGGAATGAATTCGACTCGTCTTTACTCTCAGTATGAAGGGACTCTACTTAACACTAGAGTTCCTTCATACTGAATGTAAAAACAATACGGATCCCTTTCTGATTGGTTCCCGTATTGTAGGTCTGTACATAGTGACAAACGGGAATAAAGATTAAATTTTCTTCAATTGAAACGATTATAAACTTGTGAAGTGTGTACACGTTGAAGATTGGGGCGCCTTCAAATTGAGTGATACTTCCAGCATATCCGTGAAGTTGGTTTAAACTTAACCCAACCTGACTCTGTTCCCATCAGTTGCCGAGCTTTTTGACCGATCAGGATAATAAAATTCGGACTTATTCAATCACAGCAAAGACAACATTTATTCCAACGTTCCGGAATAACTTTTTTTAAGCATTATTTTTTTACAACGAATCTCATCAAATTGTTTTTCTGGAAGTTCATCGTCAATGGAGATGTCGCATGTGTGCGATTTGACTGTTGATTCTTATGTAAAAGTTCGCGAGAAACACGATGGTGCTACTGGTTTTTCTGAAATCAACTCCCAAGCTCAAAAAAGCTCTCAAGTTAGGGCCAAAATGGAGGGGATTTCCCACCCTATCCTGAGAGTCCACCTCTGCGTCAAGACAAACTCTCCATGCAAAGATAGGGAGCAAATACATTTACAGGGTCGCCGTGTTTTCAGTTTTGGAGTTCCCAAATAAAGTGGCAACCCTGCTAATGTATTTGCTCCCTATCTTTGCATGGAGAGTTTGTTTTGAGGTAGAGATGGACTCTCAGGGTAGGGTGGGATATCCCCTCCATTTTGGCCTCAACTTGATAGCTTTTTTTGAGCTTGGGAGTTGATTTCAGAGAAAACCAGTGGCACCATTGTGTATCTCGCAAACTTTTACATTAAGAATCAATAGTCAAATAGCAAAGTCTTCACACATGCAACATCTCCATCGAAGAAGGAAAAACGCCGCGCCGTATGAGCCATCTGGCGCTGCCAAATTTTCTCTAGTGAAATACAGTTTTCGGAGAAATTTTCAAATATCGAGGGAAAACTGAGAAAGGAGAAACGCCGTATGAGCCATCTGACGTTGCCATAAATACAGTTTCCAGGATAATTTGCAAATATTGAGCGCTAACGGACAAAATCTCCTTACTGACAATTTTGGCAAAAATGAATTAGCGACTTTGCCGGATTCTACAGTGCAAAATACGCCTGCTGATGATTAGAGTTTCTTTACAATTCTGTTGGGAAAAACGATGAGAAAACGATCAAAACGATGCTGTTAATATGAATAAATTTCAAAAGTAAACTTAAAATTTCAATAATGGCGAAGTTTGCTCTTCGTTCTGCAAAATCCTCAGTTTGCAGACAGGCGGTTTTGTTCCTTAGCTATCGATATTTGTCTTCCATTGGGTCACTTAACCTTGTACTTTTTATTAAATAGTCTGAAAGTACAAGGCGAGTAGAGTTCATCAAAAAAATCAGAACACAGTTCTAGCGCCTGCTGCGCGCTACAAGTAGCAGCGAAGATGCAGTTTGAATATTCGTCAGACGTTATATCGAGCTGAAAGTGCAAACTTCATCAACTGAGGGCTCTAAGTGAGTCGTACACGAAGTGCCCCGTCATTGCGAAATCTCCTAATCAACCGGCACCAACTCAAGAAAAAATATGAAAATCACGATTAAATTCGGCAAGGATGCGGAGTTTGAGGATGATTGGCTGCGTCGTTCGGACGTCAAAAACTTGGCGGGCGGACGCGCGACGGGACGTCATGATGTCACGGTGCCATGACGTCACCGCGGTTCGATTAATCACGGAGCCGAGCTAGTTTGCGTACAGGATGATTGCATGTCGGATGCTCCTGCCTTTCCGTCAGCGATAGCGCTCTCTTTGGCGTCTGTCGCTCCAACTTAACAAGTCCATTTTCGATGGGCTCTGAGCTCCGTAAGATGTCTTCTGTTGTAGGGATCATCAGATCATGAATATTTTCGGATTTAACATACACCGATTCACACAGTCGCCGTACACAGTGAGAGGAAACTAGACGTGCAACGTCACGCGTTCTGAATGGGCTCGCGGAATCCATCGGTGAACGTGATACGGACCGAGTTCAGTACTGCCGTGCTTAGGAAAAACGCCGTATGAGCCTCCAGGCGTTGCCACATTGCCTTCGATAAAAAACGAATTTACTGGTGAACTTATGAATATTTTATTTTCAATTTTTCGGATAATTTTGCTCACAATTTCAACTAAAGTTCCTGGAAATTTCAAGGATAAATATTCATAACTTTCCTGAAAAATGAACATTTTATCGAAGGAAATTTGGCAACTCTTGAATGTTCATACGGGGTTCTTCTTTAGCACGGTATAGTAGAGAGGAAGCGAGTGCAATGATTTGTTTATAAAAGCATCTATCTATAAGAAGGATTCAAAGTGCAGGTATGTCGTTCTTGCCGTAGTGACAGTGGATGTCGTGTAGCAATTTTTCTTAGAAAATGTAAAAACCTCGTTTAACTCTTTATACTCTTATTTAAAGTATTCGCAATGTTACTCTGTCCCCTAAGGAAACAAAACACAAGAAAATGGGAACCCAACACTAAAAACTAACAGAATGCCTGGGACGTTTTGGAGTGGTCAGGCTCAGGTCAGAACAGTTTCGGGTTGGATCACCGCTTTTTTTGTTATCTAGAATGGAGGTCTGAGAGGTTTTTCGGTTTTCATATGCTTTTCAATTGTTTTTTTACTGGTCTAAGAGAGGGTTGGAACCATCCCGAAACGGTTTTAGCCTCGGTTTCCCGTTTTCTTGTGTTTAGTTAAGTTAAATCATTCGGGCTATTTTTATGTATCATTCTTATCCGCCTGTAAGCAAAGTATTCTCTCCCTCTCTGCTTCTTATTTCACCGAGAGTCTTAAAAAACCTCGTATGTCCACCGTGATTGTCTGGCAGATCTTTGGTTTTCAAGATTCTACACTTAGATGGACACATTCGTTCACTTCTGTATAATTTTGATCGCATTTTGCTCCAGACGCCGAGTGAAAACAGGAACTGCTAAGCAACTGCCGTTCTTCGTGTTGAGTGCAGTGCACCGTACTCTTACAGTGGGGTGTGGTTCTGTTGCCAAATAGAAAGAAAAAGCCAAGAACACCAGCTTAAGTTCTCAAAGAAGCGCTTTTCCTCTCTTTCCCGCAGCTGACAACTGTGATTTTAATCAAGTATGAAGTCGAAGACCATCTCTGTTAATGAAAGTAAATTGTGAACTTTATTCCTCTATTCATTTATTTCGTCGTCCTCGGGTTACTCAAGGCGAGAAAATTGCACAGTTTCTCCTTGATTTTCCTCACTCTTTCCTTCCTCTGTCTTTGGTGTTTCTCGTTACTGCGCTGAATAAAATCCTCAGCGTTTGGAGACTCACAGCTGGACAGTTATTAGATTAACGGACTTTACCGTTTGATTAAATTTCGGAAAATCTTGGCGGGCGAAGAAGCAGATTGCGCCAAAGGAAACAAGTCCAGATATTTCCATTCGTGGTTTATGACGGAAATGTAACGCAACGATGACCAGATACAGGACCGTCCCTGAATCACGTAACGCTCTTGTAGGGTAGAGGAGATCGTTACGACTTTTTGTTTTTACGTGTTGAAGAATAGGAATTTACGTTACAAAAAAGAGGATGGGGGTCAAAAATGCCAAAAAAAGTGCGTTACGTAATTTAGGGACTATGATTTAATATTAAATAGAAAGTCCAGTCTTATTTTACATGATTTTCTGTTAAGCTTTTCTCCGTGTTTTTTTTATTCTTTTTTGTGGAAGCTTTTGCGGCGCTATTGAAAACTAAAGTGAAATTGTAAACAAGAATGAAACCATTTTTACCAATTTTTTCGGTGAAATGAACTCCTCTTTAGATGTCTATAGTATTTTATAAAATGGTTATGGAATCTTAATTGATGTTCCCAATTTTGATTGCATTATTGTATGCTGGAGCTCCTAAAAAATTGAGTACGATGAGGAAAAAGTCATTGTTTAGTGTGTTGAAATTCTAAAAATACTAATAACGGACAATCTTTAAGATTTTTTCACGGACAATATTTCAAGGTGTTCCCAAATTTCTGATGTCTCGATTATTTTTAAATTTAATTTTATCTCCAGCTTCAGTTGAAATGTATGTTTTGGTTAAAATATTTCAAAAATTTAAGTATCTGTTGAATTCCAACCAGAGCTCAAACTTTTTCACTTTAAAATGTCCCACCATCGTTCGAGGACTGTTCTTTTTTGCCGTTGTTCCGTTTTCCGCTTGTCTCCCATTGTTTTTCAGCTTGTTATACTTACACGGAAAAAAATAGGTTGTCTCTAACAGCTAATGCGGTATGGTTGAAAAGTAAAAAGCCGTGAGAACCAACAAAAATAGTTGGATTCACCAGCCACGTTGACCGATGTGACCAAGCACGAATCCAATTTACCTATACGCCTAAATTAAATCCGACTGTTGCATCTTTTAGTGGTGCAACCAGCAATGTATGTTATCATACCCTCACAAGTAGGCCAAGCCAGCAAGAATCTTACGGCGGATGTCGTTGTGGCTGAGATGGACGGATTAACCATCTTGACAAAGCTGAACTGGCCATCACAAAGGCGACCCAACCATCAGGTACAGTCAGCGCGGTGAGAGTTCCCGCCTGGCTGAGCTGCGGTCCGCCATTTTTCCTTTGTCAATGTCACTCAGTTACAAGTTCATCACGTTGTTGTTCGGAGTCTGTGCGCCTGGCTTTATTTATCTATATTAATCCATGTGAATTTACGCGTAATTTGCCCAAATTCGTGTTCGAATCGTTTCTACAGCGACCGTCTTGTCTTTAAATCTATCTGTTTTAACTTTCCACGTATATTTTCCGAGATTTCCTAGTTAAACCTGTATCGACCACTTTTTGGAGGTTATAAGAGTGCTGCGATGAATCTGGCTAACAAAATGTGTGAATTCTGAAAACTTGAAGGGCGTTTCGCAAAATTGTTCTGTTATTTAGTGAGTGTCGGTTCTGTATAAAGTCATTGCGAAAGCGGGAAGATACGGAAGTCCCTTGAAAATGATAGTTAGTTAGTTATTATAATTTTAAGACATTCAGCGTCTCAGGCTGACCAGTGATTATTGAATACTTCGTTCGTATATCTATTTGTGTTAACATTTTAGAGAATCAAAATACTCTGATGCCGAGTAAAATTTTCCTGGGATATTTGTTGAATATAAGCTTTAATCAAAATTTGACAGTTTCTGTCCCACCGTGAACTGTGGCAATTGGTACTGCGTGTAGTTTATTTTTGTAGGTATATTTTGAACTATCTATCTACTTATTATGAAATTAAACTTTTTGTGAAACTGATTTAGTCTGTAAATGATACTTTGACGGTAGAAACAAGTTTCGTTTTGGTATCATTTACTTGAAATCGGTGAAGCAATTATCTGCTATTTCTCGTCAAATTTGCTTTAACTGCCGGTAATTGTATGTGTGCTGGAATCTTTAATCAAAAAGTAAGTAAAATATCTACTACTTTCATATCAAATTTGTTTCTGCTAATTTGAGTTAATATTTAAAAATATATATGTTGAGTGGATGTTAGAATCCATAAAGTTCGTCGGAGCATCTGGAATTCGGGAAGCTTGAAATTACCATACTAGGCAGTTGGAAACGCCACACTAGCATGGTGTCAGCCGTATCGTGTAATTTACAATACTGGTATATTGATAACTAACTGGATTGCACTTTGCAAAAAGGAACCAGGAGCACTGCAATGTTGCTAAGATTGTGCAACTTCTTTTGTCTTGGGAGAAAAACCTGATTATCCATTAACAGTTTCTATTTTACTTGCTAAAAACTGTAAATTTAAGACTAAGTTACAATGTAAATTTCATATTTTTTCATGGTTTCAGTAATTTTATTGCAAAGGATGAAAATGCACAATCTTAGCACCATCGCAATTCTTCTGGTTCCTTTTTGCAAAATGCAATCCAACTAAACTGCACTTAATGGAAAAAAAGCAAGAAGACAGCATGGTTAATAATAACCAAACACTGGTAAATCCGATCATATGTTTTTTTGTAGCGTGTGTAGTAGAAATAAAAAGCAGTATAATAAAGAAAAAAACAGGCTGTGCGATTTAAAGAAATGAAACAAATGATCACAAATACAAATCTAGATTCGAATTCTTAGTTATCACACTCAAGCAGATCGACGTTGACGGTTAAATATAGATTTTTTGTGCTCCTTCATCATCGGTCGTCATAGCTCAATCGTTAGGGTGTTAGGTTAGGATTAGGTAGGTCCAGGTTCAATCCCAAGTAATAGGTTGAAAAAATTCTATCGTAATAAAATAAGTTGAATAAAATAACAAAATTCATATTTTTCATTTTTACAATTTCGCCTTCTCAGATATTCATTTTAATGGGGCTCCTGGCCCCCTATTTTCCATTAAAAGCCCCGAAAAATTGTAGCAATGACCGCTGTCTATTTTGGCAAAACTAAGCGGGCATGGTAGCCCTCAAAATGGGTCACTTTGACATAATTGCTGAGCGCTGCGGCCGAGCGCTCGGGTTGATCTAACCATCTTCGCAGGGCTGACCCAGCCGCGCGGCATGAAGGCAACGTCACTACCTGCTGGTTGTCGATCTAGCCAGCAATTTGGTTGGCGCGGTTTTCAGCTTTCGAAGATGGTCGAATCGACCATCTTCATGGCTGCACGAGACAACCTTTTTTTTCCGTGTGGCGGGGATACTAGGTCCCTGGTACCGCGGCCCGGGCCGCGGAGGGGGCCCGTGTTACCCGTGAAAAACCACTACGAATTCACAAGCAACCCTTGTTTCGTAAGTAAAAGTGAAAAATTTACCCTAAAAATTTCGCAAAAGGTGGATAGATTTTCGGAAACACGCTGGGGAACTATAGAATTCTTCTTTAATTTTCAAAGAAGTATACTTCTTGGAAAATGTCTATCTATTTACAAGATTTTCAGTACAGAGGGATATTTTTAGTAACTGCGTTTCATTTTCTTCCGTCGTCAGATGCTAAGAGTCTCCAGTCTGGGCATCCTCGACTTCAATGGCTCATGGCTCAACNGAACTGAAAATAGTATCATATGCCCCCCCCAAAAAAAAAAAAAAAAATTCCAGATGTTTTGAATGCAACAATTCGCAAGTATTTTGTGCTGAAAGTAGAAAAAAAAATAATTATTCCGCAGAAATTGATGGAATTTCTTTATGGAAAATTCAAAATGCGTCCGATTAGGCGTTGAAATTCTAAAATTTCTCGGGGGATGCCCCCTGGACCCCCCCTCCTTCGTGCTTGGAATCGGACCTTAAAACTGGTACCAGGGCCCGAGATGGGATGTGGCGGGCCTGAAATCTATTGGTGATATCGTCCTTGATGTCGTACGATTCTTACTCTTTTTTTGGCATCATTCGTATACCTCTACTCGAAATTTGCAGGTAATATTCTAGATTGCTCAAATCACCAAAACCATAATCAAAATAATACCCGCTTATGGAAATTGCAAATTTCGAATGTTGACTACTTAGATAATTCCATCAGATACTTTACTTCTATTTGGTGTCATGGAAAAATTAATTCTAATGTACTGGTTGATTTATTCGTTAGTAGAAAGTACAACGACTACAACTTTGGAAACATGAAGCTGGTAATTATTTGAAAAGTGATCAAATTCGGTCATTGAAATGGAAGAACGTAAGAAGAATTGCTGTTGACTGTAGCTAGAGCACAAGAGAATCGGTGACTGTTTGTTTTTTTTCCCCCCAATCCCCTCTCAGGATAAAGAGACGTAAAGTACTGAATGAACTGAATATGTAAAACTTTCTGAGAGACTCTAAATTTTCAAAATTTTCCTCAAGTCCTTCACTAGGTTGAAAAATTCTGAGACCCGGCAGCCAGCACGGGCGCTACTTTCACCTATGATAGGACCATGAATTGACTTTCGATTTATTACCTAATGACCTTGTTCCCTGATCACTTCACGGTTCAACTTCCTGAAGCGCCTCGCACCTTAGAGTTATGCGTTTCAGGTTATACTTACTCTTAAGATTTTATGTTATGGAGTTTTATAGCGCGTAGCAAATATTATGCGTATAGTTATGCGTGTTATGCGTTGTTGCGTGTTTTTCCCGGTGCCGCACGAGGAGAGTGCCAGTGCCTATCGCTCCGCTGACGTGAGGGCGTATCTAGATTTCCGCATAAGCCCCAGAAAGCGTGGATTTACATTTACATGTGAAATAAGACTCATTAGGAAATAGAGATGCGCCCTTCCCCCAAGTCAAAGGGGTGACGATACAGGAGAGCACTACAGAAAAATTGTACCGCTCTCTAATTGGTCGAATTGGTCGGCGAGTTCTAGGCTTCCTTGGTGGTCCCTCCGATCCTTGTTCGGTCCAAAGTAAACCAACAGGATAGCGATAGAGTTCTACTTGTGATAAAAATTTTCTCGTACATCTAACCTCTAAATTGAGTTCTGATCATAGTTTGATAGATGAATTTGCCGAAAAATACACTTTCATTGTGATCATGATTCATGCCTCACGTGATAATACGAATTTCTCTCGGTGGTTTGTGGACTTCGGGGCACATGAGCCCCTTTGGAAGCCTAAAATTGATGAACCCATCAATGAGTGGCACAAAGATGGCATTACTCTCAGGTACATGGGTACTCCACGCGCGACGAGTGCAGTATTTTTCTGATCACGATGAGGATCGGGATTTTTGAATTACGACAGGGCTCTGTATTTGTGCACAACTTGGGCCGAAACCGGTTTCAAGCTTTGGTTCATCCACCTCAGCGAGGATCCCCCCTCCCCCTCTGCCCTCTTCCGAACACCCGCGCTGCGCTGCGCCGCTACGAGCCCCCTTGTCGATTCGTCCCGAGTTTCCCTCGAAAACAATGCGCCTCGGCTTCGCCGTCTTTCCGTGTAGAATTGGCAACCAGGTGAACTCATTTCTCTTTATGCTTCCAGCCAAGTCAGGTACATTTATGCTATCGTAATAAGGAAGAACGCCATAAGGGCCTACAGACGTTCCCATATTTCCTTCAATGATAAACGAATTCAATTTCTCAACATTTTTCTTCCAATTTTCCATACAATTTTGTTAGGAACTTCATCGAAAATATCTGCACATTTCAAGGAAAGATAATTATACATGACTTTCCTCAAAAATAAATATTTTATCGGGGGAGATTCGGAAACGTCTAAAGGATCATACAATGTTTTTCCTTAGCATGACTGTAATATGGACGCTGCATGCACGAGTATTCTGCCGTGCTAAGGAAGAGCGGCATATGAACCTTCAGACGTTGCCACATTTCCTTTAAAAACCCTTCATTTCCTGGGAAAATCGTAAATTTTTTGCTTCAATTTTTTCAGACAATTTTGTTCAAAATTGTGTCTAAAATGTCTGAAAATTTCAAGGAATAATACGCATGATCGTTCTCAAAAATACATGTTTTATGCGGGATAATGTGGCAACTCTCGAATGATCATACGGCGTTCCTCCTTAGCACGGCAATATTGGAATAATGGTATCTGGGACCCGGGTCGATTGGAAACGCTGAGACCAGGGCCGGATTTACCTACTTGCCGCCCATGGGCCGCTAGTATTTTGCCGCCCCCTTCTCATTAGTTTTGAAACATCAATGAAAACCATCAAATGAACGTGCCAGGGGGGGAGGGGTGCATAAGACGCGTTTACTCGTGTTGAACACATTTTTTTGGGAAAGCCCCGTCAACACTGCTAGCAAAAGTTCACGGAACTTTGCGCGAAAGTTAAGTTTTGTAAACTTATCTCTGTGTGTACAAGGCCTTCCATTCACAAGAAATGAACGAAAAAATTATGAAAGAACAAACATAAATGTGGATTAATGATATTAACTTCCACCGCCGCGCCTCGCAGACCGCACTGTGTTTGACGCAATGCGTGAAGTATTCACACAGACTTGTAGGCGCCATGCGTCTCACGCTGATCGCACTGTGTTTGCCGCAATGCGTGAGGTATACATGCATTCTGGTAGGCGCTATCCGTTTAACGCTGTCCGCAATGACCGCACTGTGTTTGATGCAATGCGTGAAGTATTCGTGCAGTCTTGTAGGCGCTAATATGTGTTACATGCCGATCGCCGCGCCGAGGGCTTCTCCTTTTCATCTCAAGTCCTCGTCATCATTTCTCTCTAGGTAAGTCGCGCCGTGCCAGGCCAAATTGCATGTTCGGTTTCTCTCTTAACTCGACTAATTAAAGGTGCTGCCTCTTGTATCACTGAAAGACGACAAAAGTAGAAATTACTATACTCTCAGAAAATTAGAGATTTTGTCACCTTTTCTCGTTTGTAATTTTTTTTTCTAAATCCGATTTTTTTTTATACCTACACTGAAAAAAAAATATTGCTGAATTTGCCTTGCACGCGGGTATTTCATGGCATGGTGTAGCTAAAAAACGAACGTGCAAACCATGCAGGTAAAATTGCTACACAAATTTCAGCTAACTCACACACACGCGTGTAGGTGATTTTGCTCTCTGAAAAGCCACGTCTGTTACCTTTTTAGTTATTCTTCCGTAAATTTCGCTATTTTTCCGTAAATTCCGCTATTTCAGCCTAACTATTGAGCTATTTTTACTGTTCGCAAAGTACCAATACCAAAAAATGCAGTTACACTTCCAAGCCACTCGATGCAAGATTATAACTGCATGAAGGCGCGCATAATTATGTAGCAAATCGGTGTAGCAATTCGTGCTAGTCGTTCACTTGATTCAACACCTTGCACGGATAAGAAAGCTTTACGAAGTGAAGCAAATTTTGCTCCACCCTAAATCGGTGAATTAGCAATCCTTTTTTTTCAGTGTACATTTAAAAAATTGCAAAATTTGCCGCCCCCTATAGATTAGCCGTCATGGGCCGCGGCCCATGTGGCCACCCCCTTAATCCGGCCCTGGCTGAGACGCATCAGGGAAAGAACAATGTCCCGGAAATTAATTATTTGTGTACAAATTCATATTAAAATCCCGGAATTCTTTCTCTTTCCCCTCCGTTGTTTGAAAATTGGTAGTTCACGTAGGTTCGGCGTCACTTAATAAGTATTAGACAAGGGTAAAAAAAACTGAAATTTTTCTTTTATCAGAGGTCCGCAAAAATATTTTGGATCTTTCGAAAGAATGCGGAAGAGAATGACACGTGGAATGCTTGGTTTTCTTGATGGAATTTTTATTTGGAAGTAAGGAAAACAAAGAAACAACAGCGGAAGGAAAAGCAGTTTAAGAATTCTAGACGCCTCGACCTAAAGATTGCTAAAATTCTACCGATGCACTTATCTTGGAGAAAATTTAAGAGTATTTTCCTTTGAAATTGTTACGTAAACCAAATTGAGTTTTAAAACTAATGCTCTGAAAAGGGAAACATTACCTACAGACAAAATCGTGAGTTTCGCAGAAAATCAGTAATTTACTTGAATAAATTTTGCAACGCCTGAATGTGTATCATTATCGAGGTAACTATTTACTCTTGCAATTAAAATACCTATCGATGAAAATGTATCATAACCTCCATAAAATCCACAACTTATATTAGAACATTGAAGCCGAGGATCTATCTGCAACCTTAACTAAAGTTCTGAATTTTTCAAGTTGCCTTCAAATCAGCGTGAGACTATTGTTGGTGCGGGCGTGTTGTGCGTGCCAGTTCTGTCAGTGTGTAGTTAGTGTAGTTCGTGCCCTATTTGAAGGCGTTGAAAGCACTGCGCTCTGTTAGCGTATGATTGTAATGCAGTGCTTTGTTTACATTCGAAAATCGTACTCGCATATTGCTCGCATTCCTCTCATTTAGTCTCATTCTCAAGTCGTGTAAATCGTGTACGTGCCACGAAGGCATGCGAAAGTTAGTAACGTTCACTATCAGATCAGAGTTATGGTATGGTCTGACTCGGATTTTTCATACGCGCCTCCCAGCATGACGTGCGAGAATTGTAAATTCTAATAAGTATATTTACTCAAGAATTTCGTTCAGTGGGTTATCTAAGATTGTCTCTCGTGTAACTGTCTACTGAATAAGTAGGTAATCATGGTCCTCTTCCTTGTGTGCCGGTCCAGCACATTTGCTGCCAATGCAGCCTTTCTTTTCCATTCTATTGCCAGCATTTCTCTTTTCGTAGGTATGTCAAAATGTCAGTTTATTTATTTGAATATTGAGGTGTAAAAGACTCACATCTGGGTGGGTATGTCTTTAATCAGGGTAATGCACAAGCAAAGATTTTACGTACTGGTACATGCTCAGCATTATGGGGGAGTGTGCGAATCCCAGAAGTTGTCGCAAAATCCACACTATTATACCTGTTTCACTGCATTTATTGAGTCATTGTAACCCTTTCAGCAGGCCTGCCATCAAAGCTGTAGCAGCACAACCAGAAAATCGAAGCTAAATCTTAATAATGAAACATATCACATTTTGATATCCCATCTTGTCTTGACCAGACTTGAGGCTATCAATCAGCCTGCTAAGTTCTCAGTGGTAATGCAAGTCACTTCACCCCTCGTTTCCTGTGTATTTATAATCTAGTCGAAAATGAACTTGTTGCTGAAAAGTTCTTGTTTCATTTCAGGTGTACCAGATAGCATACGTGATTGTCAAAGCTGCCATCTCTCCCAGGCCTGGAAACTGGATTTTAGAGAGGTCTGTAGATGGAGAGACATTCAGTCCTTGGCAATACTTTGCCATCTCAAACGAAGAATGCTGGACCAAGTATGGGCTCCAGGCATCTCATGGAAATCACGCATTCCAATATGACTCGGAAGTCATATGCACTTCCTACTTCTCTAGACTTAAACCTCTTGAAGGAGGGGAAGTAAGTTTCTTTTTTTTATTATTTTTCAAATTTTGTCAATCTGTGAACAAATTGACACATAATTCAATTTACTCTGGGGAGATTCTCAGCTCGCTTTATCCTAACAAATTCAAAACTTTTGGTTTTTCAATGATTTGAGTGGTTATTTTTCGAATGTTTAGAAGGCTCCTCCGAAAGTGTCCGGGAAGTTTTGTAGTCTTGGCTTCTCTTTGAACCTTGGATCGTCATCTGAACCAATGCCTGAAAATATATCAAATCTTGTCTAATATTTTTGAAATAAGATGATGGTAAGACTAAAAGTAGGTAGATAGTGGCTAGGAAGGAAATGGCTGGACTACTAAAACATTCTGCCCAGCAATAGTTGTTGAACACTCCCATGCTGAGGAAAAATGCTGCAAGAACATCCAAGTATTGTCTAATTTACTCTCAGAAAAAACTTATTTTGGAGGAGTGTTATGAATCTTTTTCATTGATTTTTTCAGACACCGTAGATTAAATCATAATCTTAATTCTCTAAATAAATTCGAAGAAAAATACTCATATGTTTTCCTGAAAATTCATGATTTGTCAAAGGAAGTTTGACATTGTCTGAAGTCTCATATAGCGCTCTTCCCTAGCAGCATGGCAGAATTGGTTAGAGTTATGTTGCTGCCATGCCACTTATGGTCTGACAATATTAATGCCGCAGTGATGTGTTTGTACAGTTTCTCCATACTTACTGGGACTCCATTAAACTTTTCAGTCATGCAGGTGTTTTTAATCAACCGTACATTTGGTTCATTTGCTCAGTGCAATTTCTGCTATATTCACGGTTTAGCAATCTATCTATCTCTGTAGATATGCCAAGGAAAAATTTCCTGTCTATCAAAGGCTATTGCCTCACTTTAACGCTTGTCTTCAGTCTGTTGAAGGACTTATTAGTTAGCAATGGTTAAAATCCAGTCTTTATACCTACAGCTATATTTGAGAAAACTTTTCTTTTCCAACAGATTCATACATTCCTTATCAAAGGTAGACCTGGTGCTAATAGTTCTAGTGATGAATTGATGGAGTTTACAAGAGCGCGCTATGTACGTCTCCGGCTTCAGAAACTGAATGTACCCACAGAGCGCATGCTGTCGCATCTACCGGACAAGTCTTACCACCGTAGCTTATTCTATTCAATAAAGGAGATCTCAGTTGGTGGTCAATGTATCTGTAATGGTCACGCTGCCAAGTGTCGCCACAGTCGCAACGGAGTAAGTACCTTTTATTTTCTTTTTTATAGGGTTGCCTCCGACAAAAATTTTATCTTTACCTAATTAATTCATATTTACTTTAGATCTTGTCTCACAATACGTCATTAGAAAACACCCCCAAATGTCACAGAATCATTTCATAAAAATTATGATTTTCTCTTCTATCAGTCAGAATCAGGAGGTGAAAGAATTTTTCTCTTGAACCATCCACATGAAAGAATAATGAAAGTATTTTAATCATCCTTTTTCTTTATATTGATGTTTGATCTGCAATACACATTTTGTGCAATTATAGGTACTGATTACCAAAATTATTCTCTTGAACTTTTCTCCAGCATGATCATTATGGGCTTGGTGGGCTTATAGGATTTTTAGCGCTAAAAAGGCTGCTAGTAGCTTTCATATAGATTTGAAATGTAAGCTTAAGAAGGTAGAGGATTCTTTTCACCCAGTTCAAATTTCTAATTTTATTGCTCAAAAATTTTGTAAATTATGACTCTTTTAAAGAGTAACAAAATTGAAAGAAAATGAACAAAGTAAAGATCTTAATGCTCCAGATCTGCCGCCTTGTTTGCAATCCCCCTAGGCCTGCCCTAACTCCCTTAAATACAGCCCTTCCTTTGAGGTTGTTTTACAACAGTACAGTTTTGAAAATAAATTTATCCCTTTATGTGGTAAACAACCTCAGTAGGTACAAAACATTTTAAATTTAAGTTGCTGTTACCCCTATAGGTATTAATGATGTCTTATGAACAGGTTTGAAGTTCCTTTTTCTACAGTCATTTGTGAAGCATGTAATAGAGCAATGAATTTCTTCTTCATCCAGCAAATTTGTTCTCAGTCCAAATGAACATTGAAACTTTTTTGCTTCAGCATACGCATTCAAAAGTAATGTGTAATCCGTGTTGCAGGAATCGACCTGTGAATGTCAACATAACACTTGTGGGGGAAGCTGTAACGAGTGCTGTCCACTGTTCAACCAACGACCATGGCGGCAAGGAACGATTTACAGTGCATCGCCCTGCGAGATGTGCCAGTGTCACGGGCATGCAACATCTTGTGTCTACGATGCAACAATCGATGAGGCCAAGCTCAGTCTTGATATAGAAGGCTACAACAACGGAGGTGGAGTCTGCACTAACTGCACAGTAAGTTTCAATCCATGCAGCAGACAGAGAGATGAATCAATAAAATATCGTTTATCCATAAAATTGATAAATGATAAAGGTTTCAATTATGAATTCGAAACCTGGAAAGCTATAATTCTTGAAGATAGTAGAAACAGTGGCAAGGTGTGAATGATCGATCATCGATGTTTCCCTATTTGAAACTGTGGTAAAAAATCGATCATGAAGGTTTTCGTTGCATACACCCTTTTCATCGATCTTTTTCCATAGGTTTAAGTGGCAGATCAATCAATATGTCGTAAAGCACAACTGCGCCACTGAATAGAAATTTCTGAAACTGGATGCACCTAGATCCAAAATCTTGGTGCACATGACTTTGGCTTCTTTTCTGAACTTTTTTATTTAGTTTCGTGCCTGACCCGAGAACGGAACCTTCTTCCCTATAGATGTTCCATGCCCTCAGGAAGCTGCTATGGGAGTAAAAAATCTGGGCCGTACACTTTTCCCATTGTACGCTTAGGTTCACCTCTCTCAGACTCCACTATTTTGATGGGTCTTCAAAAAAAAAAAAAATTTATATCGCTCCTCAGACTTTTCCTAGTGTTAGACGAGAGAATTTTCATAAATTCTGAAAATTGACATTTCTATGAATTTTTTTTAAAATAATATTAATAATGATAAATAGCATTTAAGGTTGTGAGACTCATTTTCTTTATTTTCTTGAAGAATAAGAAAGGAAACCCCGTATCTGTAGGGATGTAGAAGAAAAGGTTAGGAAAAAACCAAAAAGGTTTCTGAATATTCAGTCAATCCTGACAAAAGTGCACCTTGAGGTCCAAAAAACGTTATTTTGAGGTAAACTGTTTTGAAGTTTTGAATTCTTGGCAGGATTGCATCATTTGGTGCGTCACAAAACGTTGCATAATTTATTCAGTAATGATTGGATTTTACAAAACTGGGTCTCGGATTATTAGAGCTAAGAGTATCCTAGAATTCGATCAGATAGAAATGTGAAAATTATTTTTTGGATCAAAAATGACTCATGACATCTCTCAAGTTTTTCTTCTCCTTTCATAGTTTAATATTTTCAAGGCTAGTCCTCCCCTTTTAATCTACCATCTTTTTTTTAAAAGAAAATCTTGTAATAATTCAATCATCTGTCATTTGATTGGCAGAAACACACAACAGGCATCAATTGTGAGCGCTGCGAAACAGGCTGGTATCGACCGATCGGAGTAAGGCCAGATGCTGAGGTTCCGTGTTTGCCTTGCCAATGCAGTCCTATCGGGTCTGTCGGCTCCTGCGCTCCTGATGACCTCGGTGGCAAGGTGAGTTTTTCTTCATTCTTCATATCTGAGAAAGGATAGGCCATTATTCTTTCAGATGATGTAGGTATCAATGTTTCCAATTGCAATATGTAAGTACTTTGCTCTGGAAAAATAATTGAGCCACTTCCAAGCTTTTTCAGGCGAGAAAAACCATCTTTCAAGGAACATCGCTTTGATGTGGGGTACCAAGTCTAATATTTGATTACCGGATACCAGATAATTTGCCAAGATATCGTGCCGGAACTAGACCGCACCGAATGCAGATAGTGCTTTTTGGCATGAAATAAATCTCCCGATTTTGGGCAAGGCACACTGTGTATTAGACCATCGAGGCGGTCATCCACGATGTGTATGCCTTTGTGCTGGCAAGCTCCTTATTTTTCTAAGACATGCGATGAGTCGGCCCCCCAAAGCAAATTCTAATATAAAATGACCTGGCAGTTGAGCAGCATAGGTTTCATTGGATTCAGGGTGTAATGGGCCGCAATGTCCAGGAAGAAAGATATTATGTATTAGAAGTGTACACAAGACAAAAGTGGAAAACAGCGCTGCCAACCTCACACTTTGAAGAGCACCATCACAGCTTGCGGGTCAAAAGTCATAGCATTTCAAAGCCTGTCTTGACAGCAAGTTGTTATTAATCTCTGTTAGTAAGGATCTCTAAATGTAAAGGAGAAATGGATTTTCAAACCGTTCACGAATTTAGTTGGCTTGTATTTCGATATTGTGATAACAAACTTCTGTGACATTACAATAATCGCTGAGTTATGCTCAGACCAAAAACGTTACCCATGGGGAACTCACGCACATGTTGGTGGCATTGTTTTTCTTGTCTTTTCCACCTGCATGTTCGTTTTTGAAAGTGAAAGACGCAGACTTAAGGAATTAAGTATCATGTTGCGATCATATTAATTTGTGGAAAATGCACTTAATTCCGGTAATAACAGATCAAAGCGCGCCGAAAAGCACAATAATGCCACCAAAATTTCATCAAAATTCTCATGGCAGAAAAAGCACTATCCAGCGGGTCCAAAAACCGGAAAGTGCGATTAGTCGGTCGGATACAGATACCCGCGAAAATCGTATCCGCCCGGAGCCGGATATCCAGAATCCGGTCGAATAATCCGGCAACCCGGATTGCCGGCTCAGCTCTAATTTCAAGCCACAAATTTGACTTATTTCTTGTATATTAAGTAAAAAGGAGGGGAAATTTTGAATTATCGCGACGGAGATATGTGGTTCTGCTTTTTGGCCATCCATGTCTCTGTTCGTAGCGTTTTGGACTTCCTGTCATACTTAATTTTGTTAATGAAAAACCACTTAACATCATTTAAAAAAAAAACCTATGCAAGTTTTTTTTCTCCATGCAAAGATCATTTTGTGAAAATTCCAAGCCATGATATTGGCTCAGTCTCTTTTTGTGAAATGAAATAGGAGCAGTTATTTTGAAACATCGCAATCAAGATGTGCATTTTTGCAGTTTCACTGTCAATTTGCAGCATCTGCAGCTTTGAGTAAAAAATAGGTAAATGTATTTTCACCATTTTGCATTATCTAGAAGAAATAAGAATAATTTCAGAGCATCAAATATACAAGCCATTAAATGTCAATCCTTTTGTATTGTCTTCTGCCAGCTTGTTTCTATCTATCGCTATGTTAATTGAATTGGTGAGAATGAATACACACAAACTCCATAACTCGAAAATGCTCAATTTTCATGAAAGGCAGTCAATTTTCATAAAGGTCATTGAAGTTAGCGCATCTGTTCCAGCTTATACCTTTAAAGTGTCCTGAAGTGCTTATCCTTCAGCACGAAAAATATTTATCTTATGCCAGTTTTTTCACCCACTGTTTAGTTTTTTGTGTCCAGATTATTTTCATTTTTTTGAGTTGGTGTGTTTTCATTTTCACTGATTCAATTCGCATTTTTTGTTGATTGACATTGGAATCAGCCGCAAAAATCTTGGGATTTCAATGTATCCAGAGCTTCGTTTCTAATTGTTGCTCTGTTTAATCTTCATCTTCACTTTTTGGTTTTCTAATGTGTTTGTGAGATATCTTTTCTGACAATTTTCTCTTACCAGGTTGCTGGCTCCTGCGAGTGTCTTCCAGGATTTGCAGGCGAACTATGCGATCGCTGTGCTATTGGTTTTCACAACTATCCAAACTGTGTACCATGTTCCTGTGATTTTCGCGGATCAAAAGAGTCCTCCTCATGTAATAAGCATTGTGATTGCAAGGTAAACAAAATTTTGCCTTCTCAAAGAGTTATCTCAAGAGTAATCACAAAAGAAAAATCAATATTAACATTTTTCATCTTTCTTTTGTCTGTTCTTTTTTACTTTCATGTCCGTGCATGGATACTCATGACTGTCAGACATTCTCAAAGTAAATCCATCATAGCTAGGCCCAATCTGTTTTCTTTCTCTCTCTCTTTTCCTGCGCTCAAAATTAAAGGAATGATAGTCCTATCCTACTGGTTCCTAATCAGCAACCAGCCTTTGGCAATGCTTCTTTTTTCCCTTTAGAAGTAATTTCTTGGACTTTTTGGTTTTTTGACTAAATTGTACAAAGGAATAATTATATCAGAACCCTAATGTAGAACATATTAAACTTTACTATTAGAACCCTGTAAAAATTCCTTGCTACTGCCTCATTCTTCAACACAATTTTAAAGAGCAACCTCGCATTGCCACCACCATGTAAAACCAATTTTTTGTGGGGCATGCATGATATCCTCTGTTTTACACCTGCAAATTACTCCTTGCGTTATTTAATTAATTCATTAAATTTGTCAATATTTCTTTCAGTCGAATGTGATGGGTGCCCAGTGTGATGAATGCAAGCCTGGATTTTTTGGCCTCTCAGCAGACAATCCAGATGGGTGCTCACCATGCTATTGTTCAGGCATTTCGAGCACTTGTGAAGACTCATATGCGTACAAATTAGATAAGGTTTGTGAGCAAGGATTTCTTCCGTTTTTTGTCATTACAGTCAGTTTCAAGTTTGATCGCCCAAGTTTCAGTGAGTTGTGCTATACTCTTACTTTTAATGAACTTAGGAAGTAAAAATGTCTCATTTTGTAGATATTCATCGCCAATAGGCCACTAGGCAATGTTTAACCCTTTGAGTACCACGCCCGAGAATACTCGGGTTGCGGCAAGCCACCGTCACAGACCACGCCCGAGTATTCTCGTGCTGCGCCTCGCGTTCGTATTTCCCGCTCTAGCTCCCTTGTTTTTCAATGAAATTAAGCATACAGCATATGCGCACTCTGTCGGCAAAGATATGAACTACACCTTCATCTTATCCTTGACAGAGAGTGCCACTATCGGCGGCCGTATTCCTAACGCGGCCGTCAAAGGGTTAAATTAAAGGCCCTTTTCTCATGCCTTTTCTTCAAAATTTTTTACACAGGAAGCAATTCATGCAAACGAAATTCAGAAATCTGCTTTTCAGCTCCTGAGTGGAACACAAATCAAACAAGTGATATCATTTGTATTTTTGCCATCTTACTAAAAAATACTTACATCATATTTAAGACTTGATTTCGAAACCTGTTGTTTTTTTATCAGTCATAAAGTCATAACTACAAATACTTTCAGGCTTTAGCTACGTTTGCTTCGTTATTTGAAAGGGTATTTTGAAATTTTTGCAACAGTTTTTTTAAACTTTAAAATTCTGATATGAGAGCTCTATCATCAGCTGATTTTGAAAAAAATTATTAGCAGTCAACTGTCTAATCCTCATTTGATTCAATGGTGAAGTTTTAGGTAGAATACTTGAGACAAAAATAACATCAAAATCAGCCAAAAAATAACATATAAAATTTCCAAACTCTAGACCTGAGTATGTCACATTTCTCAAATTTTTGGCTCTTCCATTCACGATTCTGTTGCGTTGTTCAATTCAGGTGGACAGCCTTAACGGATGGCTTGTTTGTGATTTAGGCGTCACTCGCACAGTATTGCCGACGCTGGACATCGAAACTAACCAACTCTACATCGGCAATTATGAACTGCCAGGTGTCGAAAGCTATTTTTGGCTTGCGCCGGAGGTCTATCGTGGCGACAAAGTCACTAGCTATGGAAGCAGGATCCAGTTCCACGTCTCCTGGGTCGTTATGCGTGGAGACACCAGCGGCAAACCTACTGAAACTCCAGATATTGTCATCATCGTAAGTTGATTTCATTTTCTCATTTTCACTGTTCGGCTGTGAGATATGTATAGGTGATGGAAGATGGCAAGATTTCTGACGGTTCATAAAAATTGTAGGGTTAGGAAACTCATGGGAACCTGGAGAAGCCAAGGATTCATTTGAAAAATCAGGAAATTTTTCAAGTAGCATGTTAGTTCAGAGTCAGTGCCGTTCAAGACAGTGCAGTCAACTTCCGAGTGCCTTTTTCAGCCTCAGAAAAGAAAACCTTTATACAAAGTTTGTCATAAGTCAACATAATGAAAAGACAAAAGTATCCAAAGGGAAGCTCTGATTGAAGGTTAGGGAACATCATGGAATCTGAAAATTTTGGAGTCCGGGGGAAATCAAAGAAAGTCAGAAAATTGAAAAATGAAGAAATTGTGGTTACCCCGAGATGTGCAAATATATTTTGATTTGCAAATTCTTTTGATACTTATGTCTGTTGTCCTCCTGCTGGTTTTTCTATCCATGTATACACATTTTTGCTGAACCATTTTTTAAAATTAATTTATTCCTAATTTTGTTACCTCATCAGTGGACACTAGATTTTCTTTTCTATTTTATCACTCTTTAGTGATTCTGTCTGTGATCCAACCCAATGAATTAGCGTCCATTACAGCTAACATTTTTATAAAATTCAGAAAGAGAGAAAAAAAGCATGCATCTAATGTTTACTTTGAACAACAAAGCAGATAATTCTAATGGAAAATTGATAACGATTGATTCAATTCTAGGCTGAGAAACCTCTTTGCCCCTCCCCTATGCATTCGCTGTTTTTGATTGTATTTTCTAATTTTTTATTCTGTTACACAGGGTAACAATGGTCTGAAACTTGGCTACGGAAAAAGCAAGTACTATAACGAGAAAAATGAGAGCATCATTATCAATCTGATTGAGAGAGGTTGGTTCAGAATAGAGGATGGGAATGATACTCACACTGACTCACAAATACAAGCCCCAGTGTCGCGGGAACAGTTCCTCAGTGTAATTGGTGATATCAAGCATATTTTGCTGCGGGCAACTTTTCACACAGATCAAGTTGAAGGAAGGTTTGTATAGCCCGCTTCTATTTGGAACTAAATGGATGGCTGACTCATTCGAGTACTTTCTTTAACTAGAATTGGCTAACTGCATTATGAATCGTCTAATTTCTTCTCTTGTTGTATTTTTGAAAGCAAAAAAGAAAAAAGAAAACTATGAAGAAAAACCTCATAATGATGATTTAAAAATATGTAATTAGGAGAGGAAATGATCGAAAGTTTTTATCTGCCACGTTTGGGGCTACAATTTTTGGATGGAAATACATCTCTACACCCTCTAAGAATACAAAAATTAACCAAATCCTCTAAAAATTATTCCTTGTAATACTGGAAAGATTTCGAAAACTCAAATGGAAATGTCAGATTAAACCGTGGAGGTGCAGAAAACGTCTGCTCTCTTAATCCTTCAATCAGGAAAAGCACATTTTTTTCATCTTTCTCTCTTCATACTTTCAAATTTTGGGCAAATCACACATTTTAATGTAAAATTAAGAATTTTTCCATGAAATTGGGCATTTTGCCGGGAGATTAACTCAGAAATATGACTTAATGCAAAAACGTCAGATTGTTGCAAGTGTCAGACACTTTGGAACTTTTTGCATCTCCTTTGGCACTGGAGTTCTGGAAGTCTCAAGTTTTCAGTTCAAATAGTGTATCTTGAAGCAAAAGCTATCTGAAATTCTGATGTGCCAATTTTAAGATATGATTTTGCTAGATGAAACTTTATTTTCATGCCCTCTTTTGGCACAAAGAAAAGCTAAACTGCTTGAAAATTATTCTTTAGGACACTAGAAAGAGATGGCTGCCAAAATCTCAAAACTCGATTTGTTTACCTGTTTCCGGAAAATTCACTTTGATCATCATTTTTGCTCCCTAACTAAGGCCCTCTTTCCTGTTGCACTGTTGTAAATGTTAAATCTCTTAAAGTATTCAACATAAATCAACCACTGAAAAACTTTCCTCTTAAAATTAGATAGCATTTTGTTGTAAGTAACCACCATTTTGAAGACACCAGGAAAGTACAAATGATGGTTTTCTCTAAAGTCTTAAAATCTATAGACATGATGAGACATAACTTAAGTCATTTTGCTGAGGCAAAAATTTTCTGTCCAAGCAACCCCTCCATGACTCTTACTAATTTATGTGTGTCTAGTTTGCTGCTTGCCATCCTTGAAACGGGGACAAAGAACGGAACGGGTGAAGTAGTCCGGACAGTGGAACGGTGCATTTGTCCAGATGGCTATTCAGGTTTGTTGTGCCAGTACTGTAGCTATGGCTACGCAAGGATTTTGCCTGACTCACCTAACAAACACGCCGTTTGTACCCTTTGTGACTGCAACAACCATGCTGTCAGCTGCGATCCCATCAATGCTGTTTGCACGGTCAGTACGCAAAGTACCTGTAGTGACCATTCTCTATGAGACTTTGTATTATTCTCAGATTTAGTTCTAATCATTCTTTAGGTACAACATTTCAGACGCACAGATCCTCCCTGTAAGGTGGAGGACTAAAAGTGGCACCACAATTTGTAACGGACAGCTGGGTTGAATTTCTTACACATATCTTTGTGCGCAGACAATGGTCTTTAACTTACGCAGCAGCGATGTGCGCAGCAAATGCAGCGCCTTTTATCCTTGATGGACTTCTTGCAGAAATTTTGAAAGAAAAGAAAATTTCAATCATTGGAAATGATATGTATCGGAGAGTTTAAGGGCCAAAGATTTAAGAACTTGAGAAGTGGAATTTTGATACCTTTAAGTAGACTAATTTAATGATAAAATAGCCAAAGTGAAGTCAAATCTTTTACATGAGGAATCGTCAGATCGGATCATGATTTGTGCTTGAAACAAAAAAAAATGAAAAAAATACTTTCCTCTGTTTTTTCATTTACTCCTTACGTTCTGTATCTTAAAAGGACTGCTGCTTCTTATGGTGAAAATAAACAACTTAAACTATCTAGAAAACGACTGACCTTTTTAAATGACAATATTTTCCAATTTCAATGAAAATAATGCATCCAGTAGAATAGAATTTATCTTCTTTTAAGTTTCTCATGCTCTACTCCGCATTGTTCAATCATGTTTCATTGAGGAGAGTTAAACATCATGCTGTACCTTTTCTCAGAAAAACCTAGTGATTTTAATGAATTTTATCATTTAATCCTTCGTTTATATAAATGTGATTTAGACTCAAAATATTACCATGAATATTTTGATTGATTGCTTGCCTTTGTTCAATTTGCAGTCTTGCGAGCACAACACGACAGGACCGAAGTGCGGGCAGTGTCTTCCAGGGTTCTACGGAAATGCTGAGAATGGCGAAATTGACGATTGCAAACCATGCGCGTGTCCGCTGACAGAAGCATCCAACAACTTCAGTGCAGCCTGCATTGCTAACGGAACGGACGACTACACCTGCACGCAATGTTCAAAAGGTTACGCGGGTCAACATTGTGAAGAGTTAGTTGTGTTTCTCATGATTTAATGAGTTCTAGCAGAATCCTTATATGTTGTATTTTGTAATGAACCAAGGAAGAAGGATATGGATAAAGGCCAATTTTTGAATGGCATTTTGTCAACGAATGAAGTTAAAGACAGGCTTTGTGCAATCGATTTTAATGTGCTATAGACACTGGTTTTTGGTGAAACTGTCTTCATAAATTGATTCCACGAAGTTTCAACTTTCAAGATTCCACAAAACAATGCCTTTTTTATGCCTACTGGAAACCTGGAAGTTTCATGAACACGTGGCTAAAATAAAAACTAAGCATGTGAGGAAAGCCTCTTGTAAGAGTTTTAGCTTAAGTTCAAAGCTTGGGTTGGTGCTATCATAATGCAAAGTATACGTTGCTACTTGCTAAGCAGTATAAGTATTACAAATTATTGTAAATCTAAACGAAATATGCAAATTATGGCCAAAACTAGCATTGAACTTTAGAAATGAATGGCAGGGAAGCCTTTGCTTGATGTTAAGTCTCAATTCAGCCATTTGTCGGTGAAAGTTGCAAATCCCTTTCAAAGAATGCCTTTCTACTTTCTAGGGAAGCTTTTTGTATGCTTAAAGAAATCTGGGAGTTCCTATGAGGTACTCGCAGGCACTCGTGAAAATTTCTTTTTTAGGGAGGCTCTTCGCACACATAAAAATTTGTGAGTTTTTTGAATTTCCACTGCTTCAAAGCAAGTTATTTGGAGCAAAAATGGCATGTGTTTGTCGGCAAATAGTTAAATCAGCATTTTCACAAATGCCTAGGCTGAATTTAAATGTTGAAGGTTTACAAAGTCATGCATATTTTTCCTTAGAGCTTTCGAGGTGTCAATATGTAGAAAATAAGAGTTATCAAACTACAAACTATCATTGTATTTTCATGTTCAAATGTTCCTCAAATACTTTTAGCTGTCAAATTTGGGGGAAAAATCTATATTTTAAAAAATTCTGTATCTTTTGAAATGAATGTTCATTTTTGAGCTGAAATTATCCTACCCAACCAACGAATGATGCAAATTTTTAAAAATATTTCTTATCTATGGAGGCGAATAATTATTTTGCCCCTAATTAGCAGCAAAGTCAAAATTTTAATTTGACCAAGAATGTTTGACATTTTGCGTAGGCATTTGATAAAATGCCTGTTCTGATTATTTGCGTGCGAAACATACTTGAAATCATTAACTGAACATGGTGCTGTTTATATACTCAAAAATCTAAAAATGCCAATAACTTTTAAAAAGATCGATGTAGATCTAAATCTGAACTTTTCACCGTATGACATTTTATCTTTTTCCTGTTTTCAGATGTGCGTTTGGCTATTATGGAAACCCTCTTGAAATCGGCTCAACCTGTAAGCTTTGCGACTGCAACAACGGTCCATGCAATCAGGTAACTGGCCAATGCCTGGACTGCAAAGGCAACACTGAAGGCTGGCGTTGCGAGAAATGCAAGCCGCATCACTACGGGGACCCACTAAATTTTGACTGCAAACGTAGGTGATCTTGAAATGTCCATGCTTCGTACATTCAGAAAACCAAATTACATCGGAATGACTGTATTTATGGTGTCTGTAGATGCCCTTGTAAAGTATGCTCTTGGCTTTTCTCGAATAGCATCTTATTCGTGTTCTCATATTATATGTCTCTGTCAGGTTGATCATCCAGAGAATAATTGATGAAATGAAGGAATAAGTTCATATCTTCATCGGAAATTTTCATAAAAAAAAAGTCTGCGGTAGTTTTGACGAGTATGCCCCAACAATGCCCATAAATTCATTCCAATTAGTTATTTTAGTATTTTTGTATTTTTGAAAAGTAGAGAGGGTTCTTGGTTCAGAAGATTTTTCCCAGATTTTTGCGTGACATCAACCCAGAAAAAACGAGTTCTAAGTTGTGTATTTTAAGCTTCTGATAAAATGCATATCATATCAAAAGCCAAGATGGCATCCAAAAACATCCCTGCCAGAGCAATCTCTCCTCACACTGCCCAACCTCTTTGTTGCAATTTAAAATCTATGTAGCCGATGTCATTTCATGGACCATGGATTGCGACAGAGGCAGATGACTCCCAGAGACCTGGTCAATAGGAGATGGCAGTGGCAGGGAGATCCATGAGAGTACATACATGATGGAGACATGGAGTACAATAGAGTCGCAATGTACTGGAGCGCCGATGAAGTCAATCCATGAACGGGCCTTTCCAAGCCGCTTGTGCTGCGAAAAAAGTGAACCAAGTGTGAACTTAATGGCACTTATTATCATGGTGGCTTATGGAGAAATCAAAAACTGCTTGTGTTTTTCGACTTTTTTTAATTCAATCAGCATTAATTTTTGCAAATTTTGCTATAAACAGGTAAAGCCTCAACAGGCTCAAAGCCGTAGTGAATCCATTAATGTATCATACTCTTGAATAATATTCAAAAAGGGACGCAAATTGAGACTTAAACCAAGTGTGAACCGACCAGCATTTCTTATCACAGTGGCTTACGGGAAAAGCAACAACTGTTTCTGTTTTTTCGACATTTTTTAATTCAATCAATTTTGATTTGTGCAAATTTTGCTAAAAATAGATAGTCAAAGCCATAATGAATTCATTGATGTATGTTACTCCTGCATAATATTCATATAGGGATTTAATTTTTGACTTATACCAAGTGTGAACCAACCGGCATTTCTTAACACGGCGGCTTATGGAGAAATCAACGACTGCTTGTGTTTTTTCAACTTTTTTTTGATTACATCGATATAAATTTTTGCAAATTTTGCTTTAAATAGATATTCAGAGCCATAATGAATCCATAAATGTATGTTACTTCTGGATAGTACTCATGTATGGACTCAATTTCAGACTTATTACCGGCATACTTAGCTGGTTCAATGTGTGTGGACCTAGCACACGACATGTTTCTACCTGTGCTCTACCGTTTGAAAGTCAGGAGTGGGGAGCGCTGAGCGCAAGTCTCTGCGCATGCGTCATCGCTAGTCGCCGCACACTAGTCTCCGGAGCACTGGACAAAACAGCCTCCGAAAGTGGCTTCATTGGCGCTCTAGTACATTGCGACTCTATTGTACTCTATGGATGGAGACCATGTCCCAATAGATACAGTTCCCTTTGATTTAAATAACGTCCAATTTTAAGACTTTTGGTTCTCTGTTTTGATACATTGCTTTTCATTGCTTTTTCTAGCATGTAATTGTAGTAGCATTGGCTCTAAGACAGTTGATTCCTGCAATACGGTTACTGGTCAGTGTGAGTGCTTGGACAACTACACAGGACGAGCGTGTGATCGCTGTTTTGTACGTATTTAATACTTTCCTAATCAAAAACTTTTAAGAAGGTTCAATTTTTGAGCAATCGATCCATATGGATTCATATTTTCCAAATAGTATGCAATTTATTAATAAATTGCTAGAGCTTACATTGCGCCCCGTGGTGTGTCAAGAAAACGTACAAAAAATTAGATCAAGAAATACTTTGAAATAACTCTGGAAGTATGTTTTGAGGGAATATTGCAAATCAAAAGATAATTCATTGAGATTATTCAATTGGTGTTCCTCGATCAAATTTTTTACATCAGTATCTGAAGCTTTACAGAGAGATAAGACTATCAGGGGTTTTTTAGAAGATCTCTCAAACTCCAAGCATATCCATTGATTAATCAGCTATTGAATTATGTCTTACAGTATTGACAAGTCACATTCAATTTTTATCAAGAAATTATGTATAATAGTTCATCCTACACAGTGATTTTCACTGCAAATAATGACCCAAATAGATTTGTAAAAGCTAGCAAGAAGTACTTCATCAAGCATCAACCATTCAGAACCTCTGTTTATTTCTTTTCTTCCAAGTTTTTGTTTTCTGAAGGATCAATCCTCCTCCAAATTCTTTGGATAAGGTAGCATCCTTTAAATGATTTTTCCCTTTATTCATCATCATGTTTTCTCCAAATTTAACCTCTTGAAAAAAGCGATACGCAACTGTAGAAATGATGCAAAATTGAATGGACACCAATTGAAATTCATAATTTTAAAAAAAAAATAAAATTAGCTGCAATTATCTGTGCAACTCTTTTACTGTTGTAATGAAAAGAATTGATCGCAAATATGATTAAAATCTAATTCATTGCTAGGCTCTAATTTTTCATAAGAATATAGGAGAAACACTTATTACAGCATGCAGCCGTGGCATGACTTGAAAAAGTGCACATCCACTACATTCAGTCCCTTTTAATCAATCCTTTGGGATTGTTCTGAAAAATTATCTTCATTTTCAATGTATTTATTTTTTCTTAAAAGGGTTTATTTTTTTATTATTTTTGAAGGACGGGTTCGGAAACGTCACTGCAGGCTGCAAACTTTGTGACTGTGATGCAATTGGCTCTCAATCTGAGCTCTGTGATCCACAGTCTGGACAGTGTCCATGCAAACCAGGAGTAGCTGGTGATCAGTGTAACCAGTGTTTGCCATCCTATTACGGCTTCTCCACTGACGGTTGTAAAAGTGAGTCAAAAAAATAATCTAATTTAACTTGAATAATAATACCTACAACATAGCAAGGGTGAAACTCCCATAAACCATGCATCTCAGTTTGAAACGTTGCGGAGTTCTTGAACCACTTTATTCTTTAAATGTATAACTGCTCTTCGTCAACTCTCGAAACTCTCAGTGATTTCGTCTCTCAGTGTGGGGGATATCTTGTGAAAATTTTAACTTATAATATCAAGTCAATCTATTTTATGGAAATAAAAAGAGAGCACGCGGCAAATGTGATACAAGGTTTACCTAAAAGTTTCCCCGTCAATATCTTGGGCGCTGGATTTACAAATGTATTTTTTGGATTTTCAGTATGAGCTCTTTTGCATGAACTTCCGATGAAGAAACATGAGTTGAGCCGCTTTTTTTTTTCTTACCATGTCTAGTGGTTTATTTTTTTTCTATCGAGCGTCCTTGCCTTTAATCCTAGTTAGGCTTATACCAGTATTTTCTTGATGACAGGTTGTAACTGCGATTTGGTTGGGAGCACAAACCTCACATGCGACTCGTTCCTGGGAACATGCACGTGTCACCCGAACGTGGTGGGCAAAACATGCGATACGTGCGAAGTGGGTTTCTGGGGTCTTGGTTACACCGGCTGCCAACAGTGCAGTTGTGACAGTGTTGGCTCAGTCAACTCCACATGCAACCCTGTCACTGGACAGTGCGAGTGCAAAATCGGCATCGGGGGTCAAAACTGCGACCGCTGTCTTCCTGATTATTATGGATTCTCCGTAGATGGATGTTTAAGTTCGTACTTTCTTTATTTATTCCATAGCTGAAGCATATTCTAGAGAAACTGCTTAAATAATTTTTTCCAACTTTTGACAAACGGCATTGAAATCCTCATCTTGAGTGATTTGATTTTTCCCTTCTATATTTTAAGTAAAAGCTTAAGTTAAAATTAAGTAAACTCAGAAATTTGAAGTATATATCGATTTCGTAAGTGCAAAACCACTTATCTCCATTACAGTGTCTCAAAATTTCCACTCCTATTTTATTTTTTCAAAGAGAAACAAGCCAACTTCATAGCTTCAAATATATAAGTACAAAAAACATCAAATTGACTAGCTTTACGGAGAAAAAAAAGGAGTATGATAGGAATTCTCTAAAGCCGCAAAAGGAGGTACGTCCTTTCACACCTTGGTCAGGTTGAACTGTGGTTTCCAATCATTCAGAAATGAAGGATGAATTATGCACGTTTTTATTTCTGAACTTCACTTTATATTAGAATAACCTTACTAACAATTTCCATTTTTCCCAGTCATTTTCGTTCTCTGTTGTGTCAAAAAAAGAACGATACCTACTAGTTTTCTTGGTCGATATATCTTGAAAATACTTTACTTCTGGGAAGAAAATTCCATGTAAGTTAATGTTTTACAAACACCTAGAAGAATGTTCTGAATATGGTTTCAATCTTTGTATTCTTCTATTTAATAAAATAATATTCACAAAGGTAAGAATGTGAGAATCCTTTTTATTTTTCTTCTTTTTTTGCAGAATGTGAACCTTGCAACAATCCTGGTTTCATCTGTGATCCAGACACAGGTCAATGCGTTTGCCCAGTTCTGTCGGAGGGAGAGACATGCAACGTCTGCAAACAAAATGCTTGGGGTTTCAAGCCCCTGAAAGGCTGTCAGGTAAAATTGCATGAAAAGTGATTTTTTGACTTTCCTTCACCATTGTCTAAATTCCTAGGGAGATATTGCCATGAAAAAAAGAAAAAGAAATATACCTGAAACATTGTTGTAAACTTAGAAGGTCCTGGGGAAACAGTAGATTCTTGATTGAGAGTCATGATTGG